AACCTTGATAAGTTAAGAGAGACCACAGAAGAAAGGAAAAGCTTATTTTAGAACCTTTAATATTATTATTTTTTCTACTTTTTTGAACATGGGGCCCCACATTTTTATTTTACACTAATCCCTGCAAATTACATAGCTGGCCTTGTTCATAGGTTTTGTTCTTTCATTTCCTTTTAATGCTCTTTTAACAAATCTCTTTTGAAACAAGGCGATTTTTAAATAATAAAGATTTTAAAATATATACTTATAACAGATAATTTTCTGATACGAAATATGATTACATAAACACAGCATTCTTCTAAAGATATATTAGAAGCTAAATGTCAAATTATTGTAAGGAAATCTTTTTCACAATTATATTGAAAAAAGTATTTCTACGTTTTTCAAACTACTTTTAATTTGAGCAATACTTTTTTCTTAAGGAGAAACCGATCATGAATTAGACTACTTTCTCAGATTATTCTCTTACAGAATAGCACTGAACTATATGCTATTGCCATTTTAAAACATTCTGATCAATTATCAATTTTGATTAAATCATTTTGCTTAGTATAATTTTGTAAAGTAAAGTTGTACTATACATAATAATGTCTTCCTTGAAACCTACCCTGATAGGATATAAGAACCTAAGTAAATTCCAGTTATTCAGATTCAGTTCAGACAAGAAAAAGCAATATTGAGTTGCCAGAAATTATCAATGGACCGTTGGCAACAATAAGTTCAAATTCTACTGATTTGGGAGGTACTCCATATTTGTAGCTAATTTCATGGGTATCTCTTTTCTTCATATGACTGCCTGTGTGTTTGAATTTCTAAATTAAATTCCTGAAATTCATTTGATCTGGAACTGGTGATATGGCGATCATTCTTCTCCAATGAAAGAAAATCTGTGAATCTTGTTTTCTTTGCCCTGGTAGTAACTACTGGCCATAAGTTAGAGTGCACGATGCCACTATCTTTCATATAGTGAATTAATGGAGTTGCCTTGATTAGCATCTATAAAAAATATACAATAATGTAATCAAGAAAAATTCCCATCCCATGATATATTGTGATGAATCATGCTCTATTTCTAAAGACCCACGTCCATATCCTAAACTCCAAACATACATTTATTTCAAAGACAGGATGGATCCATTCTTCGAGTTATAAAGACCAAAAATGGGGGTAGAGAATAAGAGAATCGAGCAACAACAACAAAAAACCATAAGGATGCCAAAGCTGCACGATGGGCCCTTGCCTCGCTCTACCTGGTAAACAGCATATCAGCTGCAATTCATTAATGCAGCTTCGTGACTTTCCTTCCCAGTGTCAGGTTAGCAGCAATAACAGGAAGAACTTCTTTGGTCCTTGGTAATGACAACATTTCAGAAAATATGCTTAACTTTATCATCCAATCACTCATGAGTATGAGAAAGACTCAAATTTTCCCTTAAGCTATGAAATGCCAATGCTGTTGCTCCGAATGGTTTAATACTTTGGTAAGCTGGACCAACCACTTTTTCACGTGTGTGGGAATTAGAAGAGAATAGACTGGCCAACATAAGTAACAAAAATCTAAAATGTAGTGACACAGAGATGTGGTGTTCTAAACTAAGAGTCTCCAAATTTTTACAATTGTATGGCCTCTTAATAAAAATAACAAGCAGGTACTCCCCAATTCACGTCTATTTATTTATAAATTGTATATGTATACATAGGCATACTACATTCTAATTGTATATAATTCTTAAAACAGATAAAAGTAGAAATTAAAGAGATGAACTTTAGAGAAAAATGTTAAATTATTTTAATATTATTTAAAATATTGTTATAAAACTTTAAAATTATTGTATTATTATTAATGTTAATAAATGTTAGTGAGGCAATGAAACTAAAAATGCAACAATAATTTTTACAATATTGATTTAACTCTTTGATACAGTAATTTGAAGGCTAGTTTTAATACTCAGATCGTTTTGATACTTGGTTTTAAAGGAACAAATGTGCCATTGGTTGTATTTACTATATAAATCATGATACTCATTTTTCAGTCTCAAACACCAATTATATAAAGGTAGTTGTTTTTGAAATTTTGTCAAATATCTATGTTCTTTGATGTTACTTGTTCTTATAAGCTCCTCAAAAGGTTTTTTTGTTTGTTTGTTTGTTTAAAACATAAACATTTAAAAAAGTGCTTCAAAATCACTGAGAATAATTGTTTGATCATTGTTTGAAGAATTTTTATTGAATCTAGCATTTCATTGCCAAATTTTATGTGTTGGTGAGAATACTTAAAGTTCACATATTTTCAGCTTTCAACTCACTTAATGATGAAACCATTTCTAAATATTCATTTGAAAATAATCTTGTTATAGATTAACTTTCTCCCAAAAGCAGTTACTTGGCCACCATCAGCTGATATTTCATCAGGTATGATAGATTTTCATTATTTTTAACTTTTTCATATGTCTGATAAAGTACTTAAACAGGTGTGGAAGTGACAACTCTGCTACCTTCTTATTGCTGACTTGTACTTGTGTTATTAATATGATCATCAATCTGTGTTTTATTTCTTAAAGCTATTTGGTCATTTTGAAAGTATTAGTTTGATTTTAAGTAGCTAACATAATATATATAAAACCCTCTAAACCAGGCACATGTAAACTGTACCACATGTCAATACACTGAGACTAGAGAAAAAATAAAGATGCAACTGCTCGGTTTTAGAACTCCCACTCTCCTTGGGAGAAGAAAAATTTCATGTATCATAAATGATGCATAACTAACACACAGGGAGAATAAGGGTTAACATTCCATTATTAAATTTTCATCAGATTATTTGCTTTGGTTTTTAGATAAAAATAAATGTAAATAGAAATTCCAGTGTTTTCTTTCTACATCTTAATGGATCATCTTTACATAGCTCATAAACGCCTACTGAAAAGATTAATGGATGAAAGTAAAGAAAGGGAAGTATTATTTCTCTTACACTTGATCTTAGCCAAAAGGCCGAGAAGCGATGGTATCATTTCTCTTACAGCAGCTGAAGAAACTCTTAAGCCTAGAGGGTAAGTGATTCACCAACTCAACGATGTTTTCAAGACACCATGACTTTTAGTCTCTTCTACTGCTATCCTTAATGCTGTCATAATTTTCAGGCTGGAAGCAAGAGGCCTGCAACAATTTTCAGGCATTATATGCAGACTGATCAATGACCAGAAGAATACGGTTCATCTTTAGTCCATCTTTTGGGAGAGAGGGAGATTATTCCAGAAGCCTTCCCTCAGAGCTGGGGTATAATTAGCTTCCCCGAGAGATGTGGTGGAGTGGATAAAGAATGAATGTCAGAAGAAAATCTGGTTTCTATTAAGAAAAAGAGGAAATAGTTTCTGGGGAGCCAACCATTTGTAACCACTCTGTAGCTGAAAGAAGCAAATTAACCATACAATCTTGACAATCAAATGGATGAAAGAGGTGAAAGACAGGTAGTTCACATCTATCACTTTGCCCAAACCAAGGCCTGTAGAAGCATTGGAAAAATGAAATCAATGAATCACTATTTCTTCCTGAGAGGCACCATGGAATATCCATTTTCAGGAATAGCTACTTAAAAATTTGTACTACCGTATCTTTGCAAAGATGGTGTTCTTGACTATTGGTCTATATTAGATACCCTTTTACAAAGAAATAATATATTCATTATTGAATTATAATGGACTTTCTAGAACTTCAAAATATTTAATTTCTGGTAGCTGTTTTATTTAAACAAAATCCAAGAAGGAGTTAAATTAAATATCATTTAAATCCTGGAATAAAAGGATTATAAATAATTATGAACATTTACATACTTTTAAAATGCAGCTAAGCATTGTATTTAGTCACAGAGAAGGGAAAAGTTGTTTTGACTATCAGCATTGAAGTTGTAAAATGAAAGCTCAAATCAGATGTGGGATGGGGAAAAATGACTGAGAAAAAAATGAGCAGAATGGTAGTACAAAGTAAAGTGAGAATCTATGGGACATATGGGGATCAAAAGCCTGCAGGAATTAGCCAAAAGAAAAGGCTTTTAATGGTATATTGATATGGAAATGAATCTTTTCTGTACTGTAGTTGCTTTTTGACAATGTAACTATGAAGTCTTCTAATACAATTTCTATATTTATTTCATTAATACTTGAAATATTTTAAGGAAAATCATGGGGGAAAAGAACTAATAGTAATTTTTAAAAAAGAAAGATGAATCTCAAATATTAAAAAATATAAAGTTATAAAGACAATAAGGAATAACATGCCAAATCAAGTAAATAGCATATAAGATCACTATTAGAGCTCACCTACATATATAAAGTACTTTATGATAAAAGCAGAAGACTAAAATAAGAAATTCTTGTTTGATGTAAGTTTTATGTTGGAAGGGACCTTGAAAGCAGTTTAGTTTAATCTCCAACATAGCAGAGGAAAATCCCACAAACACTGCACTGTAACTAAATCAGAACAGGACAAAACACTTGGCTGCTTTGTCTGCTTTGTCAGTGGTAGGCCTATTGGGTTAGCATGACTAGCAAGAATAAGATGTATCAGCTTCATTTATACAAATGCAGTATTAGTCTATGACAAAAAATTAAATAGTAAACTATCACTGGAGTTTGAATAGAATATTCATCATGTAACTACTAGTAAATACTCACCTTTCGAAACTGAACATGGGGTTATTAAAGACCAAGAATACTACTGAGAGTAAATATACTTCTAAACTTTTGAAAGTAATAAAGAGAATTATTATGACAGAGCATAAAACTCTGATGTCTTTGCCAGAATATGACTGAATTGTTCTGCTCAGCATGGTATTTCTTATTTCCTAATAATTGAGGAAGATATTATTAAGTATAAGAAGTCCTTCCTTTAGCTGATGAAGTTAACAAGACCAGATTAAAAGGAACTTATTGTCAACAATGTAAAAACTCTATTTTTAAAGATACTCAAATATATTATATTTAATAAAAAATTTTCTAACTTACCTTTCAAATTATGCTGATATTCAATGGTCTGTTGTAGCCCTTTTATCATACTATGAAGAGTAGCACATTCTAAAACATAAAAGATAAATTTATTTGAAGATTATTTGCTTTCATTTTGGAATTATTCTCTTAAAGTTGAAATACTTTAAATAAGACTATTTAATTGATGATTATGAGACCTTAACAAAGCAACCAGGTATCTAAAAGTAAATTATATAATAACTTTTTAATCACCCAGACAAGTCAAATGCAATCAGGATTCAGTAATGAGTTTTCTAAGACATTATAATTCCAGTATAGTAGGGATTCCCTGCAGCATTTGCGCTAGAAGTAAGGCCCAGCGGGAACTGTCTGGGGAACTAAGAGGAGTGTGTCCATGCGAGTTTCCCATGAAAGAACTTCCCAAGGACAGAGAGTCAAGGTACATTAAATTTTGTTCAAAGATAGCCAGAGCTCTCTGTAAGAAGGTGTCATTTGAGATAGATAATGCTTTACTTCCTCACTGTCCTGCGATCTGTCCTCTTAGTATTTATGCCTGAGTCCTAGGGCAAGGGAATAGCAATAAAAGAAGTAAAAACAGTGTGTTGAGTTACAGGGCATGAGCAACTTTGGTGCCAATGATTTCTTCTATAATGGGAGATAGAGCCTTCATTGCAAGCATTAGTGCCCTAACATGTGCAGAAAAGCTTTCAGTATACTTTTGGGTATCACCAGCAACAGCTAAACCTTTGATGGGTAACAACAGTAGTGAAAACTGTAACTTTAAGCAGTCCACTTGGCTATAAGCTCCAGTACAGCAAGCATTATTTTCTGTTTTGTTTATTTCTTCCTAATCCTTATAGCAGTTGTGGTTTATAGTCAGCATTTCATAAATATTTGTTGAGTGATTGATCCGCAGACAGGCACTATCATAATAAACTGAAGCAAGAAAGAAATAAGTGGAAAAGCTCTGGCCTGAAAATAATAACATACATCATATTGTTATTCTAAGTGCTTTGCGAATATTAAATCATGTAACCCTCTTAACCCTATGAGGTAGGTCCTAGTATTTGCCTCATTTTACATATGAGGAAACTGACACACAGAAGTTTAGTAAATTGCCCAAGGTTATACTTAGAACTAGTAAGTGGTAGAGCTAGAACATGAACCCCAGCAGTCCAGCACTAAAGTCTACGATTTTAACTACTTTACTGACAACAAGACAAGCTGAGAACTTCTTCAGAGTAATTCGAGTAGGTTGGAGGCCCTGTAAAGAGAGCAATAACAGAACCAGAGAAAGACTCTTTCTGACAGTTATTGCTATCACATTTTTACTATAAGGTTAGGAAACACAGGTTGTACTAGTTTTAAGTTTACAATTATACCAGCTAAATATATAATAATGAAAACTTCATAAAAGAATAACAATATTTTTTAAAAAGAAATATAACTTTAAGGTTTAAGGGCAATTTCACCTTTACATGCTTGACTTAACAGCTAATAAATATTGAGCCTTATTCTCTTTCTTTCTGTTTTAGAGGCCCATGACCAATATTCAGCTGGTATGTACTAGTATGACACATTGACTAGCTGCCATTCTAATTGGCATCTGTTTTGATGGTTAAATATTAAATACCACATTTGTATCGAATACTAAAAAGTTGTCTAGGTATAATAATGGTACCATTTACTGAATGTGTGCTCTGCCAGGCATTACGCTAAGTACATTATAAATATTACCCCAATTAGTATACAAAATGATATTGAGAAGTTGGTATTATCATCCTAATTTTACAAAGGCAGGCATCCATAGAGGTCTGGTTACTTGCCAAAGATTCCACAGTTAGTAAATGGAAGGTATAGACTTAAACACAGGTTTTTCAAGTCCTGTTCTCTTAATCTATTTATCCAATACTTCCTTAGGAATTGTAAGATATGCTGATGCAACCAGAAAACTGGAGTAAGAGAAACTGGATTAGAGTTTCCCCTTCTTCACTTTCAAGCTAGGACTCTGAGTAAGCTACTTCACCTATTTGAGCTTTATATCCTTCCTCTGGAAAATAAAAGTATGGGTAATACATATTCTACCTCACATATAAGACTATTCTCATATATAAGATTTTTCCAACAACCAAATGAGAAAATATACTTTCTAAATTCACTCACAAATATTTAACATTGTTACTGGTTGCTGTTATTATTTCTCTCCATTGTGTCCCACAACCATTTGTATATATCTCTTTTCTCCATTTATTACATTGCATTTTAGTTATTTGTGGGTTCTCCCACTAGATAGTGAACTTTCAGATGAAGTGTTATCTTTTTAATTTTGATATTTTTTTTTGCATCTAACATGGTGACTACTTCATAGGTGTTCAATCATTTTTTTATTTATTGACTAAATGAAAGAACCAATAAGTACTATGAAGGGAGAATGCAAAACTTCAACTTTCGGTGAGAGGTCCCGCAGTCTCCATGTACACTAAATTATTTTGCAGAAGTAAAAGCTTTATGCAATTATAAAGTTCTACTATTGTGGGTTTTCACTTCTCTCTAAACCCCTTCTATCATCCACATCACCTACGCAGACAAAGTTCCCATTATCCTCCATTTTTTCTCTCTTGCTATTTCTCAGTAATAGAATGATGGTTAAATTACATTTGCCGTTACCCACTTCATGTGTGTACTGTGTTAGCTGCTACAATTTAAAAACGGAGGGGGCATAGACTAGACTATGACTTGTCTTTGTGTCTTTTAGAGGCATGAATCCAGCGATTTATGAAATACAGCTAAAGGTACCTCGGTAATCAGCAAATTGAAAACAGTCCTGAAACTTAGAAGTCTATTTCAAAAATTTGTATTTTCACAATTTCAACACAAGGTGGCTCTCCCAACACATTAAAAACAAAAACAAAAACAAAAAAAAAGCAAAGGAAACTGGCTCAATAAGGAATCGTTCCTAAGGTAGAATACCATTCTTCATTTTAGAATGGTTTTTAATTCTCTTTTCGAACATTCACATTATCATTTCTATTGGACTTTATAATGCAATTTGAAAAATACTACTATCTTACTCAATTCTTAAAAACTATAGCTCAAAATATTAAGCTACTTCTTATACTATATAATTTAGTAAATCTATTATTATTTTGAGCTCAAATTTAAGCTCTACCATTAACTAGCAATTTGGGCATAAATACCTATTTTGTAAAGTAGTTGGAAACGTTAAATATAATTATGTATGAAAAGAACTTTTTATAGTACTTGGTCCTCAGTAGTAATATTATTTATCTTGAACTGGCAAAGAAATTCTTTATCTGGTTATCAAATGTGGGAAATAAAACATCAAGAGCTCATTCATTATTATTGAACAAATTCAATCATATATAAGGTTTGTTCTTCCTCTCTAAGCGAATTAGTATACACTTGGCTCTAAAAGTTGTCATTCTTGTTTTTTTTTTTTTTTTTACTTCTGCTGGTTATTATCCAGTAAAAAGGCCCTTCGATTTAGAATAAGTAGAACTGAATTTTTAAAAGGTATTTATTTTTTTCAAACAAAAAATACACATAAAACATAAGTATTGGGAGAAGTGACTCTCTCCAATCTCTGCCCCCAAACTAACCAGTTTCCTTCCCCCAAAGCAAGCACCTCAGAGTAACATCACACTCATAGGGAGAAACACCTCAATGAATGGAACCCAGGCTCCCAAGGCTCCCTGCCAGCCAGCTGGCTGCAGAGAAGGCACGGACTGAGTGCGGGGTGCAGCTGGGATGGTGGCCTCTAGGAGCTGAGTGACTCAGCTCAGGGTGTTTCAGCAGTAAGGGAAAAGTGTCAGGCTCAGACAGCCCACTTTTAACATTAAAATTTTTGACCCATCTGAAATTTCTTTTGGAGTAACTGTGAGGCAGGAATTCAACTGTATTTTTTCTCATGGTTTTGAAGGCCTGGATTGATTCTTGGACTTGCCATTTCTTAGTGGAATGGCCTTAGGCAGGTTATTTAACTTATTGTATCCTATGTTTCTTTATTATTCATATAGAGTAATAATACCAGTCCTATCTGTCTATCAGTGCTATATTAAGGATAAAATTATAGTCTGGAAAGTGCTATATGAATTTAAAATAATTTCCAAATTTATGGGGCAATATTAATCACTGTTATACCAAAAAACACTCTCGTTAGAATTATTATTTCTTCAGGCAGCAAAGAACTAACCTTCTTTAAGTGAGACCTCCTTTGTTTGCATTGCTTTTAATAAACAGTTAGTTTTTTCCAACTGTAAATCCAATATATTGTTCTTTCCACTGGTTTCTATCATTTTCTGTAGAAGAAACAATATATATTATTACCAAATCAATGTTGCTATTTTGATTTTTTACCTAAGCATATAAAGAATGAAAACATAAACTACTTAATACCTGAAAGTCAAATAATTAATTGACATATATTTTTAAATAAGCCAGCTCCTTAATTTACCTTTTATTTAAAAAAATTAAAACAGATTTACAGTTATGAAAAGTTATAAAAAATAAAAATATGATGTAACTTGAACCCCCTTCTTTCCAACTATTTGACCCTCAGTGCTATGGTTAACAATTCCTTATATAAGTTTCCAAAATATTTTATGATTATACAACTATAGGAAAGGATCATATTATATTCTGTTCTGCACCTTGAGTGTTCCACTTAGTACTATTATCTTGGAAATGATGTCATATAAGCACATATAGGTCTACCTCATTCTTTTAAATAGCTGCACTGACTTTCATTTTAGGATATTCTGCAATTTATTTAGCTAGTCTCCTATTGAGGACAATTTGTGTTGTTTCCACTTTTCTGCTATTAAAGACAATGAATAAACATTCTTGAACATATATATCTCTTTGATATCTTTGTAAATAGTATAATAGCCATAATGTATCCTTCAAATACCTCCAAGAATCGTTAATTCATGACCAGTCTTGTATCATCTATACCTCTACCCACTTCCCTATTGTCATTACTTCTGAATTTATCTCAAAGCAACTCCCTGACATTATATTATTTTATATATAAATATTACCATTTATATGTATCTAAAAGCTGTCTCTTAAAAATATGACCACAATACCATTATCATATGAAAAAATGAACAATATTTCATATTTAAAATGTTTAAGAATATGATAGATATTTCCAAATTAATCTCCAAAAATTTTGCACCAATTCCCTTCCCATCAACAGCATTAAATCTTTTCTCTCTTCTCTCTTATTTTGGTAAGAATCACTTGGCTGAGAAAACCTAAGCTAATTGTTTTTTAAAAAGCTCATAATGTTACCTCGAAATACCCATTGTAATGAAAATTCTTTTATTATGGCCATACTACATTGTGAAGATAAAAAAAAAAAAGGAATAGAGAAGAATGATAAGGAGAGAAAACAGAAGTAAAATAGAGGAGTATTATTACCTCTCCCACTTACACTTCACAAACCACCTCTCCGAATCTTTAATTTATCCATCTATATTTTCTCGATAGCTATTCCTACTCCTGTCTCAGGCAGAGGAGGGGGAAGAAAACCCAATATATGCTTGTGAATTTGGTCTACCATGTAATTTATTCAGAGTTGGGGAGGGAGAACTTCTAAAGGTAAGAAGGTAAAAGAGAAGGAAAAGGGAACAGATAGAACAGGAAAGACTAAAAAAAATTAGAGTTAGTCATAATGGTAAGAAATTGAGGATTCAGTGTATTTCAATTCTTACTAAATCATTCCTGAGTTTATGGACATCTTGGACATTTAAGTAAAGGTTTCCCATTAACTTTAGCAAAAGTATATCAATTATTTGTTCCCTTGCCCCAGAAACATTTTGATGCATTAGTACAACTAAGCTCAAACCAGACATATTTTAAGCGCAGATTTTTAAAATGAGAAAGGGCTGAGCAAAGTACATTTTCATTATCTTTACCCTGCTCAGTTTTCGGCGTATATTTTTTTTCTTCCGAATTCCTTCCACTGGCAAAATCTGTTCCACTTTTCGCTATATGCTAAAACTGTTTGATATCTTTACATACCTTTTCTATCTGTGAGAAGTCATTTATAAGTTTGTCAAGATTCACACTGCTTATCTTCTTCATACATCCTTCATTGCTTTGATTCATGTCTAAACGAATGCAGAGTAAATGTGTTAAACAAATAAAATCTAAAGCACTACAATAGTGGTAATGACTAATACTAAAGTTTCTGTACTCCATTCATAGAGCACCTACTTGAGCTCCATTGCTCTCAGAGAACTTTCGTTATACTCATTATCAACAATACCCATTATTAACAATGATAAGTCTTCTCCACTCCTCTCTACCCCCACCTCAGCTGAGTTATCTCTAAACAAATCTAAAATTAGTGCAATGATATGTGCATACATAAAAGTCATCTGTCCTTACTATACAAAAAACTAAATATACCACTGTTTAACTTTCATCTCCTTGCCATCAGTATGGCTGGACTTAAAATCTGATACATTACTAAAGCTGATGACTGACTTTTAAATACAGGTATTCTCAATTTAAGATATTTAAAATATTTGTTTAACTATCACACTACAAATATTTTTTGCTGTATTTCTGGTACTGTGCTTACTGCTATGAACTGAATTGTGCCCCTCCCCCTGCCTCCAAAGTCAAATATTGAAGCTCTAAACTCCAAAGTGACTGTATTTGGAGGTAGGGTCTTTAGAAGATAATTAAGGTTAAATGAGGTCATACAGGTGGGGCCCTTATCCAATAGGACTGTGGCTGTATAAGAAGAGAAAGACTATGCTTTTCTGTCTTCATGCTAAGAAAGGACTAACCTTGCAATCTTGTCTCTGCCATCCATTAAAGAAAAAGAGGGAGGGAGGGAGGGAGGGAGAGAGGGGGGGAGGGAGAGGGAGGGACACTCCAGGTGAGAGAGAGGGAGAGAGAGAGAGGGAGAGAGAGAGGGAGAGGGAGAGAGAGAGAGAGGCCACCCAGTGTGTAGCATGCATATACTTATTTTCATATTTTGTTTTGTAACCTATTTGTTGAACAAAAGACATATGGAATTAATATGCTCAAAGAAATCACTCAGTGTTTTTATTCTCTCGTTATTTTGTGTAAGAATACCTTTGGGTATAGCCAGCTGACTGTTAAAGTGAATAAGAGTTTCAGTTTTAGTCCTATTGAACCACTTATAAGAAGTCCAGTAAGGATGGAGAAACTGACTTTTGCAAACTAGCCAGCGTTTATATTTGGGGGTAGAAGAATGTCTAGAAGAATCAGGATTAATACAATCAAAAAGTATGAGATGCTTATCTTTAGACTTTTATCTAGCAAAGGGTAAAATTTAGTTAGGTATTCTAGATTGAGGAAAGAGCACATGCCATGGCATGATGTATGAAAGTGGCAGTGACAACTAGTCCAGAGCAAAAGGTAAATAAAATCCCTAAAATAATCACTGAAAGTAATTTTGGGGGGCTTAGTATTGTTTAAAATGAGATACACCAAAATATAGACATTACTGACAATTTGTTACTTCATAAAAAATCCAATTTCCTTCTTTTTTATATTACTTTAACAACTATTAGTGGTTTATAAATCTAAAAAAAGAATCTTAGATGTATATTTTCAGTTTATTCAAATATTATCCTCTAAATCACACATACAGTAAAACTCTATATAAAATCTCTTAAATAGTCAAAGCTTGATCCTTAAGGCAGGAGAATAATTGTAATAAAATTCCATAATAAATACAGTAAATTCCATTTGGGGTAAAAATTTAAATCATCACTATTTGATATACTATTAATGTTTAATAGAACTACAGGATAATCTGAAGTAGTTAATGCAAAACCTTCCCTCCTTTTTCTTTCTTTTTAGTTCCTAACATTTTAAATAAAAAAAAGGTTTCACTAGGGTTTTGTCTCAAATGTAGCCCCTGAACTAAATTCATTTTCATTGGAGCTTAATTTTCTTCCAGCTGCTTTCCCCTAATGATACCCTTGGAGTGTTTTTCCATGTAAAACCATCACTAATATCTACTGGAAGTTATTGTATGCTATCTTTTTGTCACACTGACCACACCATTCATTTCTAGGTGTCTTCATTGTCCCTCCTCTAATTTCCTAGGTCAAGGTCTCTCCAGTGGACGTGGTCTTCTTACCCAGTGAACTAGGTGACAAGATCGTGATTCAGTGCTTGCCAAATTCTTGATTAAAAACAGAGACTGACTTGTGACCCTCACAGCCCAGTTTCAACCATTTCCACAGATGGGTGGCACCCCTATGGCCTTCTTTGGCTTCCACTGGCTAACTTGCATCCAGGCCTCCCCTTTTCCTGGACCACGCAGCCTGGGCCTGAGCGCCCTGAAGCCGGGCTCAGATTACCTCCTTTTTTCTCCTCCATGCTGCCCTCCATGATTCACTCTCAGTCCCGGGGCCCACTCAGGGCTCCTGGCTCCCTCTACCCGTATCTTGGTGTCCTTAGGAGCCCAACTCAAACGCAGAATGAACACCAAAGGCATGAGAGAAATGGCTGCGTCAAATCCCTGTTCCGACCCAGGAGACTGTGAGGAGATGTGGTGAAAAGAATATACACGGCAAAAGTAGGAATTTCAAATCCGCTAAAAGAGTCTGGAGTGTTACCTACTGTTGCTCGCAGTCTCCCCACGGTCGCCCTCGTCGCCTCCTCAGGAGCCTGGTCCGCCCTTGATTGCCCTCCCCTCCCCTGGAAGCAGGTTCCCTCAACAATGGGCCCGCCCTTCTCCTGGCCCAAGCTGTGCCCTGCCTTAGTGCCCCACCTCCCGCCTTACCTCCTTGGCTCTCGCTCTCGTCAGTATCTAGAGCTTCTTAAGAATTTTCATATGATTTCTGGAACATGACTCAACACCCAGCGATTGCTAGATCAATAATTATTTCCCTAACCGAAGAATAAATCACTTTTTTAATCTTTAAAGATCTTTCAAGAGCTGAAACTTGAAACTTCTGGCTACCCAAGTAATCTTTCCCTGATATTAGTAACAACACATAGAGATATTGGAAATGGCCTTTTGAATTGCTGGTTCTATCCAATTAGCACATATAAAATGTTTCATGTCACTCATATCATAATAGTTATTGAAACAAGCCCATTTTAAGACCCACCTAAATGCTTCCTTCGCTACGAAGCACTCACTAATCATATCAATCAGCAGTGATCTACCTTTCCTCACTCTCTGCTTCTATTACATTTTGAAGCATGCAGGCCTCTTGTGGCATTTGTTAGGGCTGCTTGAATGGATATCTCTCCTGCTGTATTATCGGCTCTTTTGGGATAGAAAATTCATATCTCTATTTCTATCTATCTATCTATCTATCTATCTATCTATCTATCTATCTATCTATCTATCATCATGCCTACAGTGCCTAGCATAGTTAGAATACATAAAAAAGAACCAACATGCTAGAAATAAATCAGGAAAATTTAGCTTGATTTTTCTAGTTTGAAATGAGTCACAAGCTTCTCTTTCAGTTTATAGATGTTAGCTTTTTTTTTTTTTTCAAAGAATCCTGGTGAGTTCAAAATATGTCTTTCAATGAGAGACTATATGAGCTCCCCATGATTTCGTCTTAAAAAAGGGAATGTCTTTTACCATTGTATTCACAGTTTTATTCATCAAATACCATCTGATTGAGAAATAGAAAGGATTAACTGAACTGCCTGGGAGAGAAATTTTTCTCAGAAACTGCCTGAGAGAGAAATAACTTACATTATTATGCTATACTAACAAAGGGAGTATAAAGAAAATAATCTTAGAATCCATTAAAATGTACCTTGATTTAGAAAATAAATGCATATACACTTACACAACTGAAAAAAAAAATCAGAAGCTACCGATTTATGTATGTAAAGATTTTAAGATGAACTACATATTGATGATTTTTAAGTTGTACGGAAGTTCACTTATTAATTCATTCTAAAATATTTGTTAAGTATTTGCAAGGTACTGGCTACTGAGAGTCTAGATACTAAAGAGAGTAAGACAAATAAGACACTTTCCTTCTGCTTTGGATTGCTAGTCTCGTAGGATTGCCTTTTTAAGATCATCAGCACTTACCCATCTATTTTTTTTAAGAAATGCTTGTTGAGCACCAACCATGTTCTAGGATCTATGAGAACACTAGGAATATACAAACAAACACAGTTTCTGACTCCAGAGGACTTATAATTTAAAAAGGGAAATATTTAATAAACAAGTAAATGACAGATAAATAAAAGTTGTAACAGGTGCAAAGAAAGAAGCGCAAATCCATGCAATTAATTTAAAAAGTGAATGAGAGTTGCTTTAGATATAGTGATCAGAGAAAGCCTCTGAATAGTTAAGATGAAAGCGAGACCTGAAAGGCAGTGAAAAGTTATTTGTGGGCAACAGACAAATGCCAGTGTTGCCCTTTTCCCTCCTGCCTGCTCTCTTGACATACTTCTCCCTGCTCTAATTCCTCTATCTGATTCCCATATTTCAATATCTACTTCTGAGCCATATTGTCTTGGCTTCACCTGCAACTTCAGGTCCCAGTTCTGTGGCTCCCTGGCTCAGCCTTACTTGCAGTAATTAGGTCAAAGACATCCTGTGCACCAGGTCTATGATTCCATGGAACTATGTTGTTTGGACTCGCTCCCATCCTTCGCATATGGAGAATGGAATTTGGATATAAAAAAAAAGTATTTGATTGGCTATAGCTTAAAGCCTAGTTAAACACTGGCAAAATATCTTCTTAGGGGGAAATGGGACTGAAAGATTTTATGGCTGGACCTAGATTGTAAGTAAAAAAAGTTAATGAGGAAAATCCAATATAAAATTTTTTCTTAGGGGAGGCTAAATGTGGCTGGAGGTGCCAGGCTCCAAACCCTCTGAGCAGAACTGGCTATATAATTTGTGGGGCTTTATACGAAATGAAAGTGTAGGACTCCTGTTAAAAGACATTAAGAATTTCAGGACAGAACAGCAGAACATTAATACAAGTGCAGGCCCTTCTTTGTGCAGGGTCCTGTGTTACTATACAGGTCCCATATCCATGAAGCTGGCGCTGTCTCTAACTCTTACATTCTCAACCCACATTTACCTTCTTCTCGTTCCCCTGTTATTCATTTGCGTGGCTTGGCAGTTT